CTAGGTATTCAAGGAAAATTTTCGGTTATTCACGAGAAGAGCGGTGCACTTCCCTACTCGGTCCACTGTCGTGAGATATACCTAAACCCATATGTTTCTTTGCTTTCATGCTTTATTTAAGTCATGAAAAAATGTAGTTTACAAAGTATATCAATAGAAGACTAGTAGACTTTATCTACTATTCACAGTCGTAAAACGCTATATATCTTGTTTGAAGTATAAAATTAGCGAATCAATTGTTTCTTCTTTGAATATGGTTTTCAAGTTTTTTTTAATATTACTATTCGTTCATTTGAGAACAGAAATGTCTCAAAAACTTGTTACACTGAAATTTTCCTATTTTGCAGGAGCTTTCATCGTACGCTATTCTATCCCATAGGATACTCCCTAGGGAACTGCAAAATCACTTTTTTCTGGTCCCGGTCCCGACATAGTCCCGGTAAAAAATTTCTGGTCCCGGTCCCGGTCCCGACGAATTTTTTCCACTGGTCCCGGTCCCGTCCCGGTCCCGGTGGAATTTTTCTGCTGGTCCCGGTCCCGGTCCTAGTAGAAATTTTGTGTCGAGTGAGTCTTGGTTATATTTCTAAAATGAAGCAATTCTAGTCTTGTTGTTCGTAGGAATAGTGCAAGAACATTTTTTGCAAGATTAAAGTTTACTTATTATATATTGTATCTGTTTCCAATATGTATCAAAGCTTTTTTCAAATATAAATGAGTACAAGCAAAATACTAAACTGTTAATGTTATAAATAACAAAACAAAAAAAAATATACATAAGGTTAAATAATACTGTTAATTTGTTTTATAATTCTTCACTATCATCATTTAAATCATTTAAATCAACAATATCATTACCATCAACACTTGATAAGTTCTCATGTGATCGTTTTTCACCTTTCTGGTTCGTTGAATGAAAATGAAGATCATGATTATATAATTTGTCACTTTTACCAAATATATTTTTCAAAATTGATAAATTTTTCTTGATGAACATTAATTTATCTAGTTTTTCACCTGATAAACGTGTTCGAGTATCTGTTACTGTGCGACCACTTGCTGAAAATAAGCGTTCAACTGCTGTATTACTAGCAGGAATAATAAGAATATCACGGGCTATTGAATAAATTATAGGATATAAATCCTTTTGTTGTTTCCAAAATGTTAATAAATCTTCATTATCAACTAATGTATCAGTCGATTGTAAATATCGTTTAAATTCATCATTAGCAGCTATGACAACAGCTGCAGAAGGTTGATCATAACATTCAGATAAAATATCATTTGAACCATTTGATGGTAATGATGTTTGTTGTGGTGATTCAGCTTCTGAATCATATGATACATTTGTTTGGTGAGCTAAAATATAGGAAACATCAATATCTATCTATCTCTCTATCTATGTATATATTTGTAAAGTATTATCTGTAACTTTTTTATTATTATTAAAACGTAAATATTGCAGTATTGCTTACCATGCCGTTTATTGATTTCTTTTTTCAATAAATCATGAGCTTTTTTTTATCCTTAATAGAACATTTTTGTAAATGTTTCATATTTGGATGAAGTACTGCAGCTATGTAATGAACGTCATCAACTTCCCAATATGTTGGAATTTGATCTTCAAAATATTTTTTGAATTTTTGTAATGATTCATGATCATTTTCATTTGATTGAGATAAATTGATAAGACGTTGTTTCAATAATAATACTAAATGAATTGTTGGAGTATTTTCTGAACTTAACAATTCTGTAACATCAACAAAATATTTCAAATATTTAGCAAATGCTAATAACTCATCAAAATCAATTCTAGATAAAATCGATTTTCGATCTTTATCTGTAATAACACAATTTAATTCAGGAAAAACATTAATAAAGCTAGATATCATTTCATAAGCACTATTCCATCTACTTTTTGAAAACAGCTGCAACTTCTTAGACAATTTTGACTGATTATGACAAGATCTTAAATAAACAACAATATCATGGATATCATTAAATAATTGTTGAATTGCATCACAATCAATATCTGATTTACATAAAGCATGCTCAATGATCTTGTTGATGAAGTGCGTGGCACAACCGATGCGAACAACATTATTCCTAAAAGATGAACGCATTTTATTCTCGTTGTCACTGACCACGTATTTCACCTTGTCCAACATCAAACCATATGATTCGAGAATTGTATTTGTAAATAATCGAATATTTTCAGCTGATTGACTTGATAAATCATATGGTTTGCAGGCAAGAACAAAGACTTGAAGACCATGTTCTTCAGAATACGTATGTATAGTAACACCACCATAATGTATTTTAGTTTTTGATTCAGTCCAAAAGTCGACAGTTATCACGTAATAATTCATTGTTTCTAAATATGAAATCAATTGTTCTTTACGAAAATTATATATGATATCAATATGTCGACTGATCTAAATAAGAAAAAATAATATTTGGTGTCACCAATCTGCAACATTAAATAAAAGAAATAGTCTTAATTTACTGTTGTTGAATCAGGTAAAAGTTCATCCATTGAAACATTTGGACCTAACTGTCGACCAGCTTTCATTAAATTTTCAGCTAATTCTTTAAATCCAACACCATTAACGAAATTAAATGGTAAACTATCTTTTGCGCAACATTCAGCTAATACATTGGCAAGTTTTCGTTTTGTTGAAATAACTAACTTTTTGTGAACACCATTATTTGTTGAATAAAATGATTTAATTGATTGTTGTGTACTTGGTGCTTGTTGTTTACATGCTTTATCATGTTTATCCATAACATTTGTTCCATCACTCGATTTCCATGCAAGAATACAACGACATTTTGTACATGATATAAAACATTGACTATAACCATTAACAAAAACTTGTAAATAATTCTCCCATTTTAGACTTTTTGCATGTTTTGGTTTATGAAATTCAATAAGCGAGTTTTGATTTTGAATCATTTCTAGAATTTGTTGTCTGTTGTATGTTGTTGATGTTGCCATATTTACTATCTAGTAAAACAAATTTTTATTAAATATTTATTATACAGCGCCATTGCTAGTGATAAAAAATAAACAAGGACGTATATCTATTCGTTGTCTATTGAGGCAGGAGATAAAGGAATGGCTAACCTGCTATCGAATTAAATGCATGCGTATTGTTTACGTATATTCTGATACTGATAGAATTATCGAGAAATTGAGATTATTGAAATCAAAATCAGAATGTATAAAAGACTTTTTCTAATGTAGATAAAATAACCAATTTCAAAATCTCTAATAGAAAAAGCTAAATAAGAAAAAAATTGTCTATTATCTGATAAAAAAAATGACGGGACCACCTAGAAATTTCAGTCCCGTCCCGGTCCCGGTAAGAAACAAAATTTTGGTCCCGGTCCCGTCTTGGTCCCGGTAGAACACACAATTTTGGTCCCGGGACCGGGACCGGGACCGGGACCACTTTGCAGTTCCCTAATACTCCCGCACATCTCTATGTGAGAATATAATTACCACGTAGTTATTAAGAATGATTATCGTACAAATAAGATGTTAAAATTATTTTTCAATTACTTTTGATGCATT